ACTTCGTTTTGGTAGTGCGTGCTAATTACGACAACAAAGCAACTGATTTTTTGACCGATACAAATCCGGTTAGTGTGCAAGCACCCGCTACCAATAAAATATCGGCCGATTTTATACTGGCCGTCCAAAATCGGTGTGTGTGCAACTAGCGTAAGACTTGACGGTTTGTATTGGATAATTTTTACTAACTTTTTATGATTGGCTGAAAAGTTAAAAAATTAAATTTGAAGTCAGGTTACGCTAGTTGCACACACACCGATTTTGGACGGCCAGTATAAAATCGGCCGATATTTTATTGGTAGCAGGTGCTTGCACACTCACCGGTGTTGTTCGTAATTAGTAAATCAAAGTTTAACTGTTTGAAAAGTGCAGTAAAGAATAAATTATTGACTTTTCATTGATATTGTTTTTTTTATGCTTATGTATCACGCTATTTCGCAAAAAGTAGAAATAAACTGAAATATTTATCTGTTTTTAAAGACTGTATCAACTTTGCATCATTTTTGGCATAATTTTTTCTGGTGTTTTGAATTTTTGCGAAATGGGTTGTATTTATATTTGCAATTGGTAATAAAAATGCGTTGGAAAGATAAGTTAGGCATAAAGCACTAACTTTGTTGAGGTTTGGCTAAATTTGAGAAATCGGCAAATGTCAAATTTTAGAATATGTACTGATAAATAATCTTGGTTACTTAAAGTTAAGTGTACTCAAATGTTTTCTTTTTGACGTTCGATTACGAGTATTGCAGAGTCAAAAAGAAACAGCTGTACTAGGCGATTATTATTTAAATGTATTTTTTTTCTTCAATGAAGTTACTATTTTCATATTCATGCGTTTAATGCACATGAACTATTGCATCAAAAAATCCATTCGTTCAGATTAATGAAATGAAAATTTATCTGGCGGTTTCAAGATTACGAGACAAGACTTATATTCATAATTGAGGCAATAAATTATAAACAACATTCAAAGTCGGCAGCCTTTCCTTAAATAGATAATAAGAAGAAATCGCATAATTTTAAGACAACTGTGGTCTTGTTGCATTTCATGGTTGTTTGTTGAATGATGACGGTCAACCTTGAGATATTCCTCTTGTTTATCGAATATTTATTGACACATCTTTGGCAATAACTATACCTAATATTATAGGGATTCCCCCCAACAGTCAGGTATCGGTAGACCCAGACAAGTAAATCGTATTGAAATAAAATTTAGTAGTGTCATGCTTATTCTGCTAACTTAACAGTTGTAGAAAAATGTTTATTGAATCATAAACATCAAATAGAATGTTCACCGTTAACTTCTAGTATAATAATTGATAAGTTATAGAAATTGATTGATGAAACCGTTACTACATGGTAGATCATTATGAAAAATGAGAAATGAAACTTTCTATGTTTTTTACTTATTATTCAACATAAACGCACTTCTCCAGATGAAAAAACGTCCTTTCAGGAAGCTGGAGAACCATACACAGAAATGATTCGACAAGCCATAGCTTCTCGAAGAGATTTCCAACTGATTGCGATTCCAACACTTACGTACATCCTCAAGCTGCGAGTAAAATATAAAAAAAATGTATGCCTTTTAGAACTGAGTGAGAAATTGTTTTTAAGATAACTATAAATGTATGCCTTTTAGAATTGAGTGAGAAATCGTTTTTAAGATAACTATAATCAGTATCTGGTTTTCAACCATATTTGAAAAAAATATGGAAATCTTTCAAAGAAAAGAAGAAAGCAATTGATTTCAAAATTAACTTCACAAAGATGTGTTAGGTTAGGTTGGGTCTAAAGTGAGTGAGTCTATTCGAATCTCCACCACAATCCGCAAGGGTTTATTGTGGCTCACACTCAACCAAATAAACCCAGCTTCTCACAAAGATATGGAGATCATGCAAATTAACTTTCAGACATAAACTGCAAGAAAAAGCCCTTTTGAAACTACTTTCATATAAACATTGACTTTATACGAAAGAAAAGTACTTTCGAAACGACTACTTTCATACAAAAAACACTTTTCAGTTTATACTCCAAACGTTCGTCATGAAATTGAAACAGGTATCATTCACAACGTTGCTATACGATATAGTATATGAAAGAAGTGAAACTTCACTTACATGACAGACATCCGATGTTTCTCAATAAAACACTCGTCTTATTGCCTCTTCAGTACCAATCTGGATAACATTACAAGATAAAGAACTTAATTCATTCATAAAATTACGTTCTCATGTCACGAATGAGTTACATTCACCCATGTCATCGATGACGGTACTTATTTTCTTATTTGATTTAATCCCAGCCAAAGAAATCTTGTTCAAATTGAAAGTCGTATTTTTCAGGAGAAATTGATTTTTGAGAAAGAAATGTTTTGGCTCTCCATTTCTAGGTCTTTATAGAAAAAAATATGGGAATCTTCCAAAGAAAGGAAGAAAGCAATTCATTTCAGAATCAACTCTTTCCAAAAACATTTATCTTGTAATGTTATCCAAATTGATACTGAAGAGCAAGTGTCTTATTAAGGAACATCTCATCAATATACTGTATTGTGTAGCAAGTAGTTGTTTCCAAAATATTTTTCCTTCGTGTAATTCAATGTTTATATGAAAGTAATTGCTTCGAAGAATGCTTTTTCTCCCAGTTTGTGTCTGAAAGAATGTAAAGATTTCATTTCGAAATTAATTATCTATTCCTTCCCTTCTTTGGAAGATTCCCACATAAAGAAGTAGAAAACCAAAACCTTTCTCTGCCAAAAAGTGATCTTTCGTGAAGATATAATCGTTTCAGTTCATTTCATAGTCTTGGGTAAATGTTCTAGTGTGACGTCAGTTGAAAAAACATTGTTTTTAAAAGAGATGATTTATGATGATTTGCAGGTATTGAAAACAAATATATAAATGATTGTATATACCTCTATACATACTTCTAGTGCAACATCAAAATATCCGAGAATGCACCAAGTGATTCAAAAGTCATTATTTTTCTCTTTGCTTTATTGAACCCCTTGACATACTTTTTTTGCTCTCATTTTTCTGTTGTAGTCAAGGAACTGGTTGCTTTTCTCTATAATGGCTCCATTTTTTATTCCATCATATATACATTTACCTCTAGCCTAAATACTTCATTAATTTCAGTTTTTATCTGTTTTTGCATCACCTATTAGCATCATTCATTGATATTCTCAGTTCATTATATAATTTATTTTTCATTTTGTTACTTCTTCTTTATAATTACCTATTGTTTTACTCTTATTCTTCTTTAAGAAGTTGAAAAACTAACCTAACTATTTAAATTTTCAGAATGAAAACGTGGAGTAGAATGAACATTGATAGCACTATACAGGGTGAGTAGAGAGGACTGGATCCTCCGGGAGAAGGGAATATTAATAGCAAATATTGGTTCATAGATGGATCAAAAACACCTTTCGGTTCCGGTGAAGGTGTTTTCAGTTGCAGGCCCAGGATAGATTGGAAGGAGGTATTGGAAGAATCCAACCTCATACACAAGTCAATAAAATTGTTCTCGGACAGTCAAGCGGCGTTGGAAGCTCTTGGCTCCTACCGAGCAACGTGTAAATTGGTAGCAAATTGCCAAAAACGACTCTAACTGAACGACATGAAGGCAATATATCCCGATGTGAAAGGAAAACTATCGGGGAAAATATAAGATATTACCTCGGTCTTCCTTAAACCCAGTATTGAAGGTAGTAAAACAAGTAAGTACAGAAATTACTCAAGAGATGTGTATAGGTTCCAGGTACTTTGTGTATCCATACCTGGATATAATTATACAAACAAATTGAACTGACAAAGTTCTGTACCCTCGTCTATTTACCTGCCGATGTATTACAATTTAAGAAAATCCGAAGTTTGCAATTTTTGCCCGATCCGTAACAAAGGTAAACGTTTCCAGGTAAGCTGAAGCCGAAGATTAGAACCCCAACGTACAGTCATCGTCAAAAGCAGTAACTCAGTAATATGCACCGCGTGGTGCAAAAATCGTACCCGAATATTGTGTTTTTGTTACATAGTGTTTGCCGGTTTGTCGGCTACTAAAAGCTACACAGATGCAGGATTCAACAATCGAACAAAGAAGGGAGGGAGGCCAGACAATACAAAGACAAAAACCATTGAAATTATGCTCTATATGCTTGAAAAAAAAACCGTATTCACTCCTACCCCTAAATCATGCACACAACTGTGTAGGGATATGCAATGATCAATGATTTTTACAGGTAGACATTGAACAGACTTTTAATGTTAATGCTGACAGTGTTGCCGGAATTTTCGCACAGTTTGAAAGTTAGGTCGGTTGAAATATGGCGTAGGGAAAACAATATTATAGCAGTATCTACACTTTTTTAAGGGATGTCCTATTATCGAAGATCAGAAGACAGTTAAGTATAGGTTAGACAGGTATACAAAGCTAAAATTCTGATCAATGATTTTATAACTAATTTATAACTGTTTTGAAACAAGTTGGTTGGATTCTGCTTCTATGATTAAATTTTTTCAGCAAATAACAGCTAATATTCATTTTACTTCGATAAATGTACCTTGCTAGAAATACAATGAAAGTAGCTAGTAACCAAAATTATTCAGAAATATTTACAAAGCCTACCTAAATAAGAAATTACAATATATGTTTAGGAAACAAAGAGAATATCGAAAACATGCAGTCATGGTGAACAAGTCGATTGGATCATCAAACATGTTATACATTTCAAAAATATTTGATCTAACATGTGTTCACAATTCCTCCCTGTCCTCCAGTCAACTAGTATAAACAAAATTTCTTTAACGGCAGCGTGACTCATTTAACAAATATCTACATAAAAATGATCAAATACCGATACAAATTTACTATTTTACAGTACTAAATTTTAAAACAAAAATACCCATTGAACACATAACAAAGCAAACACCAGCACATCCGGCAACACTGCGCGAAGAAAGGTTATGTATGGTTAGTAAAATGCCCAAAAAAGGGACACTTACCCAACTAGTGACGGTGGTAAAACCGCGACCGGCGGTGGCACCGTGTACGGGGAATATAGTTTACCGGCAACATTTTCAAAAAGCATCTTTGCTTCACTCTTGTCGAACTGAACTTGTGTAACCTTCCCAAATTGCAAACACAGACTGACTCAACTTCGGAAATGAACCTACAAAATAGGGAATCGGCTNTACTTTTGCCTCATGAGTACCAAAGTCCAAATAAATTGTTGATACCCATATGTTTTCAATGTGCGGACAGACTTTATTTTGTTGGAACAGTGATACTAGTCGAATTTCGTTGAAAGTAGTCCATGTTACCCTAATGAATTCTAACTTGTATCTTCTTTCATTGAAGGAACGAATCTGAGAAGAATAACTGGTTGAATTGGCTCTTTGTTTATACTCAATATTGGTGATTTTAATGTGTGTTGTCTAATATCGAAAGTATATTAATAAGAATCTCTGAATGAAATTCGCAATCCGCCCTTAGTTTTCGTGTATGCATAACATGTAGGTATATCTAGCTATAATTTTGGTTGACGATTTTTTTTGTAAGGAACGAGATCCCTATAACATTTCTTGTTTCTTGCCTGCAATATCATCGCTTCTGTCCAATTTATTTGTCCCTCTTCTAGAATTTTGTCAATTACTTCGTCCCATATTTGGCTAGGTCTTCCTCCCTAAATCATGCACACAACTGTGTAGGGATATGCAATGATCAATGATTTTTACAGGTAGACATTGAACAGACTTTTAATGTTAATGCTGACAGTGTTGCCGGAATTTTCGCACAGTTTGAAAGTTAGGTCGGTTGAAATATGGCGTAGGGAAAACAATATTATAGCAGTATCTACACTTTTTTAAGGGATGTCCTATTATCGAAGATCAGAAGACAGTTACGTATCTAAAAGAGTATACCGCTGAAAGTTGACTCGCATCGATAATAAAAGGAAATAGAAGCCCTGCCACTTTAACATTCGAACGTTATATTTGTAGTAACATTTTGGACAGTTCCATACCTATTTGTGTGTGTGTGTGTGTCCTATGGACACACATACAAATTGTGTTGTTTGTTGGTAGCAGTTGTTTATTATTGAAACTCAAGGTTTAAGTTCTGTGTTTCAGTTCTGTAGTTTGTGATGATTGCGTTCTAGATCGAATATCACATTTCATTGGTCTCTTTAATAGTTTCAAAACTTTTTTCTCTTCATTTGTGTATTTTTTTTATTTCGAAGTATTCATTCATACCATCTAAATGGTATAATTATATTATAGTATTTAATATAGTATAGTGTAATAATTTAATTATAGTATAGTATAATTTTAATACTTGAAGATATTGACGAGTGTGTTCAATCAAAATCAAAACGAGTAGAACTCAACTCAAAAAAGAAGGTAAACCGCGGAAACGTATTTCTATGTCACTGCCGTCATCAGCGCGGTTTTTCCAAGAGCAAGGATGGGCAACACACTTCTAGTGCCTGTGTGATGTCCTGCAAATACATACAAAAGTTGTTAATGAGTGTTTTTGATCTGAATTATTAAAAGGAGAACTGGTGAGATCTAATAATCATACATATAGTTTTCTAACCTTTGTTGACCATTCATTTATCATATATTCCATTATTATGTAGAATGAAATTAGAGTCTAATCCCCTCATTGCCTTAGTCTTTTCTTTATTGAAACAGTTTCAGATTTCCTATTAAGGTGTATTCCACAGTCAACATAAACTTTTACAAATGTTATTATTATAATAGAAAAAGCTTGTTGGCTCTCTACATCTCTACCATTGATCAAAAGATTTGAAAACTTCTGAAGAGAGGAAGAAAAAACTAACTGAAATGAAAAATTTTCATGGAGATATGTAGTGCATATACAAAATTTTCTTTCAGATACAAACTAGAAGGAACAATCCTTTCGAAACAACTATTACGTTACTTGTGATACACTGTTTGGAACCTTTGGTGTAGTAATGAATATTACTGGAGTCTTATCCCAACACTAAACCGTTATTTTCAACACCTCTACACTTGTTTCAATCACCAAGTGATCATCTTCGAGGGGAAGATTAATCTTTCTCTCGAAGATGGATGGAAGATTGGAAAAAATGAACATCAATGTATGTAGTACAAAATTCTCTATCGATCACTATATACCACGACACAGTAGAATAAATATTTATTGACCTACAAAAACACATGACATTAAAACGAACAAAACTTTTGAAACAACCTAATAATTTCATATGACCATTGGATTAGAAAAAAAACACTTTTTTCCAATCAGTATGTTAGGTTAGGTTAGGTCCAAAGTGAGTGGGTCTATTCGACCCTTCACCGCAACCCGCAAGGGTTTATTGTGGCTCACACCTATTCACACTCCAACAAATAAACCCAGCTTCATAACGAAGCCGATTAGTTTGTATGGTGAGTGATTTTTCAGGTCAGATGGTAAGAGTACGGCTCTGCCGAACTCAAAAAACCAGTATATACTGTAGCGAATCTGAAGCCGCCCCTGACCAGTATGCCGGCCGTATCATGTAACAAACACATGCGAAGGAATGCAATCGGCAACCGCCGGTAAAATTCTAGTTGAGTACCGAACCGACTACAGATTTCTCGAAAGAACCGTTACATTATATAAGCCCGGCTTCCCGACCCACGAGGGCAGTCCAGAAAGTGAATCGAGCGGCTAAACAAGAAATTCAAATAGTGGAAATAAATCAGGCGTTAGTTGCTAAGTGTTGTAAATAAATTAGTTTGTAATTAGTTTAATATTGTCGGAAATAAATTTGTTTGACAGGTAATTCTTTAATTTGTTACAATACATATTTTTCTAGTTTTTGACATTTTTCTAATATATATTTTATTGATAAATATATAGTTTCGCAGCGTACCTTTTATTTCTTGTATATCATTCGTTCATATATTTCCATAGTTGACAATGTTAACAATGAACTTGGCTGTCGTGGAGAATTGATTATTGGCATATCAGATTGTTGAAGTGGAAATTAGTTTTCCATAAGTGAATTTGGTACGGCAAGTACCATTAAAGCTACTATTGGTGTAGAGATGACTTACTTTTGCCTCATGAGTACCAAAGTCCAAATAAATTGTTGATACCCATATGTTTTCAATGTGCGGACAGACTTTATTTTGTTGGAACAGTGATACTAGTCGAATTTCGTTGAAAGTAGTCCATGTTACCCTAATGAATTCTAACTTGTATCTTCTTTCATTGAAGGAACGAATCTGATTATCAGAGAAATGTAACCCTGTAATGAATTGGACTTTGAGAAATGAAAATTATGAATGAACATTGAAGTATCATAAAAATTACAGTGTTTTGAATAACTTTTAAAAAAGAAAAACTAATTCTGAAATTGATTGGTGTGAATGTAGAATCACATTTAGAAGAAATGTGATACGATTAGGGTCAAATGAGTGAAAAACATATATCCCTGAATTGTGAAAGTAATCAAATCTCCACAGTGAGGGCAAGAATAATAAAACTGAATTTCAATCGATATACATTTCTGTTTTCAAAATAAATGACTAAATTGTTGACTAAAATTTTCGTAAACTATGTACGTACTTCTTATATATACATAAATATGACTGATGACTAATTCCTAACTTACCTACCTCACATAAGTTGAAACAAGCGCAATTTGCAACTATCCATCCGGACTACACTCGACCAGTGAGGTATAAGTACCTTTAATAAGTGCCCTGACGATTTTAAATAAGCAACTCAGCGGCGTATTCCCGTTCCAGACCTAAACAAATTAATGTCTCAGCAACAAGCCAGCATCCCTGGGCATTTACCACCATTATTGTCAAGTAATTAATACATTGGTAAACTATCTTTTTTGTGGGAATTTTTCTAATTCACACACCACACACGTTTGTAAACAAAGGACTTTCTCGTCGTCTCGCTGCAGTTCAAGTCGCGGCCAATGCATTTGAGTTGAAGGTCATTATCAATAGACTCCCACTTGCAGTCAACGTTGCCAAACGAGTTGCTCTCGTTAGGAAATTATCGAAATAAAGAAAAACATGCTTATAAAGAATTGTGTTCATTTCTTGCATACTTTCTGGCTATGCTTGTGCAGATATTTCACGAATAAAAGGCAACCGTAAAAAATGAAGTTACCTAAAATTAAGTTTCTTATATGACTATTTCCAAATGTCAGGTACCTATATTACCTTTCCTCGATGAAATCCTAAGTACTGATAACAGATTTGGAGAAGACTTTCCAGACAAATTTTAAAAAAACACAGAAGAACATACCTAGATACTACATGTCTAAAGTATATCCAAAACCAAGATAGAGTAAAACAAAACAAAACCGAAGCGTGATGTTCACGTGATCGCCCAGTGTCAGGTTGAAAGGGCAGCGTTCATTGGTGAATTCGCCTTCTTGATATGAGTTCGGTACCAGCACAGGGTTGTAATCAGTCGTTTGCGTGTTTGTGTGGCGTGCGTTATAGTATATTGTTTGAAATTGTTTTCCAAGATGTCCAGTACAGACACTACTGTTGACACTGTGAGCTATCCTCTGAGTCCAGCCAGGAAACGATCCAAAAAAAGACATTTGAGTGTTGAGATGAAAGAAGTGATTTTAAATGTGTTCAAGAAAGAGATGGAAGAAATTGAGACATCGACGAAGTCGTATTGAAAGTTTCCGATAAAATTGGAGTGTGTTGCGCTTCGATTTACAATGTTTTACGGGAATATAAACAAAATCATACATTTTCCAAACCGAATGCGAATCAGAATCGTCAAACCATTATAAAATCAATAGATAATGCTGATAAACATGCAATCAGGAGGAAAGTGCATGAGTTCTTTTTCAGAAATGAAATACCCACGATAGACAAAGTACTCACAGAAACACACTCACACAAAATTAATGAAGATGTTTTATTGCCAAGTTTTAAGCGGTTAACATTCCATAAAGTATTGAAACATTTGAATTTTGTATGGAAAAAACGAGGGCGCAATAGTTTATTATTGGATAGAGAAGAAATTGTGTTATGGAGGAGAGAGTATTTGACCAAAATTAAATATTATAGGGAACAACAGAGAACAATTTATTATATGGATGGAACCTGGGTTAATGCTGGTCATACTACCCCTAAAGTATGGGTCGATGAAACTGTGACCTCATCTAGGAGGGCCTTT